GGTGGTACAAAATCTGTTTTTTATAGATTAATTATTTTTGTTTGTTATAGTATATTTGTAACATATACATCATGTATAACAAAATCGCTTTTCGAAAACGTAAAATTGTGCGTTGAATGGTATGCATCTTTTCATGTTTTTATATTTTTAAAACGTGATTCCATCGATCACATTTTACAAAGAATGACGTGAAAAATAACCAATTATTTTTCTATTCATTCTACATGTTTTTAAGTTATAACTAACTTTGAGAAACATACAATTATTAATATAGCTTTTGACGTTTCAACTATTCAGCTGTTTTACAAGTCATTCTAACTTTATTCAGTTATAAAAAATTTCGTTATATCTAACACACGTCAAGTTTGGTAAAATCTTATTGATGTTGTATATGATTTTTAAAACGTTAGTTAGTAAATCATTCAGCACCTAAATTTGTAGTTTCTTGTAGTTATTATGCGAAAAATTGTTAAAATGTTTCTCGTATTGAGTAATTCGACTATTCGTTTGGACTACGGGTCAAATCCTTTAAAACGGCAACATTATGTTGTCATCGTTCATCTATCCTAAAAATGATTGAATGAGTCGTTATATTTTTCTCTTGTCCGAGAAGTAACCATAAAAAAAAAACATATATAGATAAGATTAAGCAACTTAAAACACGCGAATGAGACTTCTGGCCAAAAGTGGGATACACAAGTTTTAATCACAACACGGATTTACAATAATTAATTAGCCTTATATTAGAATTAGATATTGGTTTGATTGGTTTAATGTAATTTAATCTCGGTTGTGAGTCGGAGACTGGTTAACTAGTTAGCCTATATAACCAGATTATGTCACAAACTTTGTTCATTAATGAGAATAACGATTTCTTCTAATACGGTATCAGAGCTCTTGAGCTGAAACTCAAGAAATTCCGATCTTCTTTCTTCGATTTTTGACCTTGATTCTTCGGAAATTTCTTTGTTCTTCCGATTAATTTTTTCTTCTTCACGGATTCACCATTTTTTGAGCTCGATTTTGGCTATTCCACCAATTTCTGGGACT